AAGGGAGGGAGGGAGGAAAAATAAATGAGATTTGTAGTGGATTTAAAATAGCATATAAAATGGGGAGAGAGATTTGTGATGTGATCACCATTACAAACTAGTCCATTATAGCATTGTTGAGGAGTGCAGGAATTACAGTATAACAAACCACATTGATTAATAGATTCAGCGCTGGTAAACAGTCACACTTTAGGATCATAAGCAGGGGCGACATCTTCTGGGAAATTCAATAAATGCTCTAAAGCCTCAAGCTTGCCTACAAATACCCACATAAATTGAGATTTTGTTGGACGGGTTCCAGTCACGCTTAGCATTCGCACTATATTAAACACTGTGTTGGAATAGCAAATAGATAAATAATGGATAATATTTACTTGTAAGTAAGCTCCACTGTGTTTAATGAAGACTTAGTTAAATTCAATCATCAGAGTGCAGAAATAGAAACTACTGTATTTCTGTTTCTCCCTTCGCTTCTTGACAAACAGGGCAGCAACTTAGTAAAATGGAATCTATACGATCAACATTGTAGTGTGCTGAAGAAGCAAATGACTCACTCACTGGCAAAGCATCAGAAAGAAAAATAGCACATTTCTTGGACATTTGGTAATAGAAGTGGATTACACTCCAAAAGGTATCTAATTAGAAGGAAGAATCCCAGGGCAGTGATTCATGCAGAGATGCTATAGGCAACCTAGGATACAGATGCACACACATACACACACATATAGGCTGATTGGAAGGCATTAAGGTAATAGATTATTCAGATACTTTTAAAAAACCCAGTTTCTAAAGGGAGATGTTTTAGATTTCATGGGAAGTTTTAATTATTAATGCTGCCCCCCCCCCCCAATACTACTGGCTGTTTTCTTACATCGTTTGTCTGTGTCTCAGCACATAGTTTGGGAATGACTGGGCTAACCTAATACGTTCAGTCCGAAACTGGATGGAAAATGAATGACTCTTGGCTTTTGCCTCTAAATCCTCCTTTTTCTAAACTAAGGGCAAAGAACCCAAGAACCTTTCTTTTCTGTTCTGCAAGTGACAACAGGTTATATTGAGGACCCGGATTGTGTAGGCAATAAGCCAACTTTGTATAGAACAACACCGCTTGGGGGGGGAGGGGGCGAAAGCCCTAATAAGCAGGTATATACAAAAAAAATATGCAGGCTATTGCTATAATGCATTGTAAGCTGCCCTGAGTCTACGGAGAAGGGCAGCATATAAACTGGACTAATAAATAAATAAATTAATATAATATAATATAGTAATCTCTAATTCCATATCATCATTGAACAATCAGAGTCTCTCACATCCACATTCATTCTGATTGATATTGTATCCAAAATCTTAGCTATTCCTGTATTCCAATAACTTGTGAAAAATAGTTGATTACAAAATTAACTCTTTGTGTTGCACAAGGGCCAGCAAATATATAATAACAACTTTCTCTTTCTCTTAAAAAGAAATTGAACACTGGCAGTAACCCAGTCCTTTTGTGCATATTTGCCAATATTAATTTAAAACATTTTCTTCCCTTTAAATATTTTCCAGGACAGGTAACAAAAGTCCAAAATGAAATATATAAAAACAACATTTTCCAAGAGGGAAGCCTTTTGAAAAGCGGGTGGTGATGGCAGTGGTGGTGGAGGGATTTGTCAATTGTTCTGCTTATTTTATTTTATTTTATTCAACACAGAATAGTTCCGTTCCTCAAACTTAAAAGATTAACAATTTAAAAAATCTTGCAGTTCCTTAAAGACCAACAAATATATTACTAGATATACAATAAATACACTTTGGTGCATCACGCATATACTTTTTCAGTTGCAGGGCTGCTGCAAATCACTAATACAATTATCTTTCTGAAAATTAAAAACTAATAAATGTATTATGGCACGAGCTTTTGTGAATTTAATCATGTCAACAGTTATATGCATTTTTAGTTTATCCGCTACATTTATTTGTTGTTCAAGAACAAACACTCTCTAATTAGTTTTTTTCTTATTTATCCTCTTGAGCCGCGTCTTCCTTTTTAGGAGGAAAGAACTGGCCATAAAATGGGTGAGGTACATTTCGAATCCAATGTGCCCCCTTCCGATTGTTTCTTCTCCCTTCTAAAAAGGTGCAAAGTGTCCAAAGCAAGACAGAGATCTGTTCAAAAATGTCAAGACATTGCTAAGCAAAGGAAAGTTAGTATCTCAAAGGAAATGCCAGTACAGGAACTCCCAGGCAGATGATCCCAGTGATCAAAGCAATGCCAGCTGCTGGCAATATCTCTTTAAATACCTGAAAAGCTTCTCTGTTTTTATGTGGATACGCCATAGTTTCTGAAATCAGTTGCTCTTAGTTACTCAAAGGCACAATTCACAGAGAATTTTTGAGGAGCTTAAATGGGTCGGCCTCTTTCTTTCCTTCTAAGACATGTTACATCCTCTTTCCTCCCATGGATACACACAGAAAAGTTGATAATGGCCCTACCAATCAATATTTTCCTCATATTGCAAAATGTAGGTGTGCTTCCCTTTTAGATATTTGGCTGAAGGCCATCTTTGGAGCAAAATAATTAAGGTAACCTTTACTGAGATACTTTGATTGTGTGATCTGCTCCATTTCTATCCTTATTTTGCTACTTTTCTTGTTTTTAAAACCACAATCCAAAATAAAAGATTAGAATAATGTCAATTAGTCCCCAACATACAGACCAGTATCCCCAACTAGTGTTTCCCTACATATTGGACTTCAAATCCCAGAATTCTTGGCCAACACTTCTGAGGGATCTATCAGAACTTGGGAAATCCTTGATTTATTTCGTAACTACTGAAAATGTGACCTAGCATACTGCAAAGGAAAGAACAACTATTTCACACAGACTTTAACTAAAGGTTTTATTTTATAGTTGCCAAATTTAACAAACATTGTATTAGTTAGTGACAAACTTACTGCTATAAATGCCAGTACAGCAAAGCTTGCTTGGATCAAACTGAGCATTGTCCATAATGATCATTAACTCTATCTGAGAATTTAGCTACAGCGCAATCTTTCACCTCATATTAAATGAAATGTTTTTTGCAAGTGTAGCTGTTAAAGCTAAATTAAGGAGCATTTGCTTTATAAAAGTTCTCAGGTGCAGTCCAGCAACTCCGTATCCAGGTGCTCAAAGACAGTTGCATTTGAGAGCCATCAACACTAGGGAGATCAATGGCTTGACTTTACAAGGCAACTCCATGACAACCCCATAGATTAAAGATGACTTAATGATTAGTTGAGATCAGTGGAGCAACTGCAATTTTCCCCCAATAATCTGGTGTTGCGATTGCAATAAAGAACTACTATGTACCATGGTCCCTGGATCACAGTCAGCTAATTACATTTTAAGAATATTACCAATCTATACATATTTTAGACCATTCAGTCAACCAATTAAGCCCAATGTCATTTTTCAGTCAACTGAAAAATCAAGAAATAATTTGTCTGAGAGCTAGGCTGAGTCGTGAACCAAAATAATCAGTTGAAATCTTTTGGTTTCAACAAGTCATTGACTTTCAGATTTATTTCCATTTCTGCAATGTGGTATGAAATAAAATGGACCTATATAGCCACTGTATTAGAGAGATAATACACTTAATATAACCAGTATTATTTAATACTACCTTAGATGGACAAAAATAGTTTCTGCTAAAAAAGAAGGCGTTTTAGCCAAATGAATCAACTATGCAGTACCCTTGTAATTAACATTATCCTATTTAATAACTGAAAAAACTTCTTGAACACTTTGTGTGACAGCTAGCAAGAATCGCATGATTTTAAAATGTGTTTGTGTGTGTGTGTGTTTCCCTGTGATATGTATTTAGTAGATTTTTACTTTTTTTCAGTGGTTGACTAAGCCCCAGTACTTCTAATAATTTTTTGTTCAACAAAGCAAATAAACTTTTTCTCTCACTTGGAACACCTAAATCTAATGCCAAGAATGGAATCCTGACTAATGAAAAGTCCCTATTTAGCCTCTATGTTTAATTTTTCCAAGATTGCACATTTAAGCCTTGAAGGAAGGGAAGTCTGTATCTAGATTTTTTAAAATGTGAAACATAACCTTACTAGTGCACCTATTTCCAGTCTATATTACTCAACTCTTTTTTTAAAAAAAAACCAAACTTCAAAGAACTTGCCATAAAAAAAAAACAACAACCTCTATGCTTGATACTGGTTTTATTTTAGAGTCCATTCTTAGTAACCTTTTTAATTTTAAAAAGGTTACTATCAACTTAATCTTTCAAATCTTCAAACTTCACACTTTTACGTTACATCAGCTCCTAGCTTTTAGTATATTTTTAAGTTAAAAACCAGGCTGTAAACAGAACAGCTAAACGAGAGGAAGAAAATATCTGTAGCCAGTAAAATCTGAAAATAGCCCTGAACTAGGATTTTTGTCCTCAGATGAAACCTAAATATTTGTGAATACGGTGGTTGAGAAGTTGGTTTTCTCCAGGAGGTTTTTTTTTTTTACTACTCTCTCCAGAAGCAGGGGTGTGGTGATATTTCAAAATGAAATAAAAAATTTTCCGGATACATTTCTCTTTCAAAATCAGATTGGAGCAACATTTGCAGTTTCTCTAATCAATGGGGGTTTGGGTGTGTGTATGGGGGGGTAGAGTTATACACATCCATTACATTAGGAAATTGAATAATTGTTTTAAAAAGAAAAATAAAGTCTGCCTTCATGACAAACTAAATACAGATGACACTCAAGGCAATTCAGAAAGGAAACCTTCCAACATCAAACGGACTTTTTTCAAAAGTTGGGACGAAATAACCTTGATCATCTGCTGCTAACCTTTGATACAGCCTCTTCAAGTTGTCCATATTACGCCCCCCCCCCAGCCTTAAATTGTAGCTTTCCAACTTCTGAAATTTAAAAGCCTGCCTGCCGTGATTCTTTCATTTAATTAAAAAAAAAATGAGGAGGAAAAGAGAAGAAGGTAAATAAAGTAATAGCTGCTTACTTTTCCCAGGTCCTTGAGCTTTGGACTTTACTTCCCACCTGGTCTGAGGAAAGCTCCAGATTGCTTCAAGTCAGGACTCTCTAGGGCCCCTGATCGCACCCAGCAGGAAGGTTACCTCGAGCAGTGGCGTTGCCATCTCTGTCCCAGCCTGAGGGGTTTGCTGCAGGTTTTTTCTTTTTTTAGGAGGAAGGAGAGAGAGACAAGCAAAAAAAGAGAACGGGTTGGTCTGTAGTTAGAAGAGACTGGGGGGGGGGAGAGAGAGAGAGAGAGCTCCTCTGCTTTACAGGATCCACCCTCTAATTACAGCCTGGGAGCCTTTGAGGACCCGCTAGTATCCAATAAAGGAGGAGGGACTGTGGTGGTGGTGGTGGTGGTATGGGGGGTGGAGGGGGGGAAACAGTCAACATCTTCAAGAATGAGTGGCTTCTCCTATCCCCCCCCCCTTCTCAGACTTTGGAGGGTGAAAAAGAGGAGGGGAACAGGGATAGAAAGAGATTAAAAAGAAGAAAGGAAAAAAACAAAGCACAGGAAGGAATAAAAAGGAAGCCAAGAGGGTGGGGGGGATAGAAATTTAAGAAGGAACTCCCTGGAAGGAAAGGAAAGAAAGCAAGATCTCTGTGACACATACACAGAGAGACATACATCGCCCTTCACAGGCTGGTCCAGTGGCCAGCTGGGTACACCGGAAGTTTCAAGACCTAAGTGTAGTAGGTAAGGCAGCTTTAGCAACGGGGTGACATTACATCCACGGGGCACCAAGCAAAATGCCCTTCTTGGAATAAGTGGGAGTTCTAATCTGAAGCCGTCCGTGTGTTTGGACTATAACTCCCCCTCTGAATACGATCAATGATCAGAAAGTATAAGAGACAGACATACTGCAGCTTATGTCCTGCCATTCTCTGAAAGCTCAAGGTGGCTTATACAGTATGTGAGGGAAGTCGTAATTTTATCTCCAGCAAAAAAAAAAACAACCAAAAAACAGTGAAGTAGGCTGAGCTGGCCCAAAGTGAGCAATATAGATATGGAGTGGACCATTTGATTTTCTTGTCCAGCACCAAAGCAGGCTTGCTTGGAACTCCTTGGCTGGCTTACTGGAAGGAAATTTTAAAAAATATGGCAACAGAGGATAACGTATCTTAGCAGATATTCTTGAACTCCAAGCCCCAGCAGCAGCAGCCAGCACGGTGAGGGATGATGGGAATTGCAGTCCAACAATGTCTGAAAGGTTACATGTTGCTCACCCAGTAAGGAATTTGAAAGTGGTCTTCTGAGATTTACTCTAGGATAAGCTACATCTTTTGTGGTGTCTATATCTATGTAAGTTCTGGGAATGACAATTCAAAGACCCTACTGTTGGGGGCATCTTCCATGAAATCAATGACATAATCCTCTGCAGATGTATAGAAAACTAAATCCCATGTGTTCAGTAGGCTTACTGCCAGGAAAGTATTTGTTTATTCTGCATAAGCTTAAACAAAACAATTAATGGACACTTTTTATTTCTATTGATATAAACCTCTTGTAGTAAATAGATAACACCCATGTGGTCTATCAGTGACAATATTGAGAAACTGTTCTAGCCAGTGGTGAAATCCAAATTTTTTTACTACCGGTTCTGTGGGCATGGCTTGGTGGGTGTGGTGTGGCTTGGTGGGTGTGGTGTGGTTTGGTGGGCTGGCAAGGGAAGGATACTGCAAAATCTCCATTCCCACCCCACTCCTGGGGGAAGGATACTGCAAAATCTCCATTCCCACCCCACTCTGGGGCCAGCCAGAGGTGGTATTTGCGAGTTCTCTGAACTACTCGAAATTTCTGCTACCGGTTCTCCAGAACCTGTCAGAACCTGCTGGATTTCATCCCTGGTTCTGGCTCTTTCACTTAGATTTTACCAAAGTTTCATAAAATATAGAATCCATCAGCATCTCTTCCAAGTTTTCACAGTGCTGCTTCTGTTCCCTCATCCATCTTAAGGATCTAAATCCCCAACTTCCTCTCTCTTGTAGAATTTCTGAGCATCTCCTAGCGTTGATCCTTTTGTTCGTGGCCAATGGCAATTCTCCAAGCGAAAAATTAAGGATGGAAAATCCCTGACATAATCTGTTTATAGCTGATAGTCCAAGGGACATTCTAGCAATATCCACTGCCTAGGAAACATTAGATGGAGATATCACTATTAGTTGGGCTACCCCTTAATTGCAGTGAGGATATTTACTTATTATTTGAAAAAGAGGGTAAGAAACATGCACAGCTAGATATACATACGCACACTTGAGACTGTAATTTGTTTGGGTCTCCAGCATTCTCTGTCTCTATTTTCCAATTTAATTAAGAAAAAAAAAGAAACCTTGAGATTTCAAACATCTGAGAAATACCGGTACTGCTTAGTCAGAAATCCTTCCATTTCTCCTGAGTACGTCTTCTCTATCTCTTAACCAGCCGAATAATCTTTGAACAAAAACAAAATGATGGCCTACCACGAAACCTGTTTACAGACAATGGATGGCAGCAGTTCTTCAAAGTTTGTCTAAGGCTGAATTTTCTCAGTCCTTTTATTCTAAACTAAAACCAAATCTTTCAAACCAGATATTTACAGAACTAGGAATTTGCAAAGCTGAAAAATGCTTGTACACTTCAGATAGTTGAAATAGTGAGCTCTATCCCAGCAATTATCCAGTTTAATCATTCCTGTTCACTAGAGTACATACAAACAAAATAAAATTCAACAAGGATAAAACATATTGTAAAGAATAACTGATTGCACTACATACTACAGGACTTAACAACAATTCATTTAGTGACTGTTCAAAGTTACAATGCCACTGAAAAAAGTGACTTATGACTGTTTTTCACATTTAATGACCACTGTAGCATCTCCATGGTCATATGATTAAAATTCAGACACTTGCCAAATAATCCATATTTATAATGGTTGCAGTGTCCCAGGGTCATGTGATCCCCTTTTGCGACCTTCTGACAAGCAAAGTCAATAGGGAAGCCAGATTCACTTAACAACCGTCTTACTAACTTAACAACTGTAATTATTCTCTTAAAAGCTGTGGCAAGGAAGGTCATAAAATGGGGCAAAATTCACTTAACAAATATCTCACTTTGCAACATAAATTTTGGGCTCAATTGTGATTGTAACTTGAGGACTACCTGTAAAGAATAGAATAGAATAACAGAGTTGGAAGGGACCTTGGAGGTCTTCTAGTCCAACCCCCTGCCCAGGCAGGAAACTCTACACCTCTTCAGACAAATGGTTATCCAACATCTTCTTAAAAATATTTGATAAGTGTTCATGGCATCATACAAATCTCTGCAGATACCATAGTCAATAACAAACATGTAGGCCTGCGAACTGGCGCCCCTCCAGATGCTTTGGATTACACAATTCCCATTATCTCCAGGCAGTATGACGAAAAGTTGTTATTCAACATCTTTAAATTGCAGTAAAACACAGAATGCTGACCTCAGAGATCTTGGATAAAATTCTGCCAACTATTTTCAATGAGAACATTGCATCCCCCAATATAGCTCAGACGAGGAATGAAGGAACATATCCAGGGGTGAAATGTAAAATTTGTTACTACGGGTTCTGTGGGCGTGGCTTGGTGGTGGTGGGTAATGTGACTGGGTGGGCGTGGCCAACTTTTTTTTTTTCTAAACTTTTCACAGCATTTTTTCTAATGCTTTGAAAAGCCTCTGCCGATCAGGCAACTCAGCTGGGATTGTCAGAGACTTTTCAAAGCATTTTTTTACCACCTCTTCGACCAAGAGGTTGCAGAAAAAATGCTTTGAAAAGCCTCTGATGATCCCAGCTGAGCCGCGCGATCATCAGAGCCTTTTTTTTAAACTTTTAAAAGCATTTTTTCGTCGGAAGAGGTTGTAGAAAAAATGCTTTTAAAAATAATTTTTATAAAAGCCTCTGGTGATCGTGCGGCTCAGCTGGGCATGGGGGGGGGGGCACGGATTTTTGCTACCGGTTCTCCGAACCACCCGCTGCTATCGCTACCGGATTGGGCGATTTGGTCCGAACCGGGAGCATTTCACCCCTGAATATATCTAGAAAAGAGCAAATTGGGAAAGCCAGTTTGGAAATTCTGAGGAAGGATGGTATTGTCCTCCTATGCATTTGAAGATTTCCCATCTATGGGATTGCCACCTTACTCACCTATTGTAATTATTTTGCTAGTAAAAAGATGTAGACAAATTTTTCTAGTGAAGTTTCTTCAATCATTTCTGAGGAATCTCACAATATCAATAGAAGTTGTTTTTTTTTTGTAGCTCAGGGTTGAACTGTGGAGTCCTTGGTGCTCTTTGAGCTTGGTTGTTTTCTTGCAGACATTTCATTACCCCATTAGGTAACATCTTCAGAGCTAGAAGAGAGTGGTGTTTACTCTCTGTTTATATACAGTGGCTTGCCCTGTCAGTATTTGTGGGAGTGTTGTTTTCTTCTTGGTTGTTCTTTGATTAGGCTATTGTTTCCTATTTGCTTGTTTGATTGTTTGTCTGAGTTGGTAGTTCTTTCATTGGGGTATTATTATTGCTTTATTCTTGGTCTGGTGTTATTCTCTGCTTATTTGGGTGTTCGTTGCTGGTGCAAGCCCCACTCCCTTCTAGCACTGAAGATCTTACCTTGTTAGGTAATGAAACGTCTGCAAGAAAATAGTCAAGGTCAGAGAGGACCAAGGACTCCACAGAATGTCACAATTTCTTATGAGTCATAGTGCAACATCTGAGTTCATTCGAAAGACTCCAGGTATTTCTCATTAAAAAATCTTGTAGTGGAATTCCCCAGAGATTTCAGAGGACTTCTGCTAAATTGCTTTTCAACTAAGCTGACCCAAAGTGTAAATAGATTCATAAGGTGCAAATTTTTAGTTAGACAACTATTTAAGATGGTGGAAAGCCAAGTCAATTCAAAGCTGGCATTAGTAGTGCTCTAGAGCTTTGGCATTTATACTGCTTCAGCATCACAAGTTATGAGGAAAGATTTAGAAAGCAGCTTCCAGACCAGAGGTGGGTTTCAGCAGGTTCTGGAGAACCGGTAGCAGAAATTTTGAGTAGTTCGGAGAACCGGTAGTAAAAATTCTGATTGGCCCCGCCCCCATCTATTCTCTGCC